CGCCTTGAAGGTAAGTGAGGAAAGCAGGTGAGGAGTGGCATGAGAACCAACCTCCATAAGGGGACAGTTACAAGCTGCCCCTGGTCCTGGCGTTGCAGGATCCAGGGTTTTGCTTCCGCCCTGGTCTAAACTTTCCCGTTCCAGGTCGTGCCCACCTACGAGCGAATGATCATCTTCCGCCTGGGCCGCATCCAGGCACCTCAGGGGCCCGGCGTGGTCCTGCTGCTGCCCTTCATCGACCACTGGCAGCGGGTGGATCTGAGGACGAGGGCCTTCAACGTGCCCCCCTGCAAGGTGACTGCCATCCCTCAGGGTGGGATAGAGAAGTAGCTCTCAAATTCCCAGAGCAGGTGGATTTTGGGATGGTCTGGCCCTTGGTGACCCAGCTTTCAGCTCCTCCTGGCAAGGCCAGGGACATTGTAGCTGGTGCTGTGTAGTCAGTGTCCTCACCTGCCTGAGGTCAAAAAGCTCCTCTTGCCTTGTTCAGAGGGTGTTCCTGGCTGGAGACATCCCAAAACCATCAGTCCCTACCCTTCCCAGATGTCTTTAAATAACAGCCCATGCTGGAAACTGTCCTCACCATCCAAGCTAGCCGAAAATTAATTATTTGGATTGGTTTTGTTTCCAGTAATCCTCTTAACAAAGACATCTGGGAATGCCTTTGCTCCCAGGATCTACACACAAGGGTTGGGCCATGGGGCGGAGAGCGGAAGAGATCCTGACTCCTTTCTGCCCCAGGTGACCTCCAAGGATGGGGCAATCATCTCCATGGGTGCCGATGTCCAATTCCGGGTGTGGGACCCCGTGTTGTCCGTCATGATGGTGAAGGACCTCATTGCGGCCACCCGGATGACAGCACAGAACGCCATGACCAAGACCTTGATGAAGAAGAGCCTCCGTGAGATCCAGGTGGAGAAGCTGAGGATCGGGGAGCAGCTGCTGGTGAGGACTGCCTCAGAGCCCCCCAGGACACCCAAACCCTTGGGATCGTGGTGCCGAAGTGACAGTAAGGAAAAGATGGAGCTGCTGAAAGTCTTATCTGGCCACAGACCTGGACAAGGAACGGAGCTGGGAAAACGTGGTGATTAGCAGGGAGCAATTATTTTCAGATCTCCAGAGTTCTGTGGCTGATCTCTAAGGGCTTTGGGTGCACAGAAAGGCTGACGTGTTGTGATTTGACCTCCTTATCTCCATCAGGAAAATGTCTGGAGGGAGACTGGAAAGGGCTTTGGGTGAGAGAAGAAGGACAAGGTAGTGGCAGAGGGGCAGTGAGTCCTGCCTGCAGTCAGCCTGGGCCAGGCCAAGATCTTGTGGGTTCAATGTCTATAAGGGGTGATGTAAAAAGAGACCGGGGGATACCTCTGGGGTGCCTGGGGTGGTTTGGAGGCCAGAGATACTGCCTGGTGGAGCACCATGCCAGGATGTGTTGCCCAAAAGGGAGCAAGGAAAAGGACTATGGAAAAAGGAACAAGGCAGAGCTGTCTCCCCTGTCCCAGCCTCCTCCAAGCTGGGAGAGCAACTGGGGGAGGAGGGTTTGGATGTGAGAGCTGACAGCTTGGAGGAGAAGGAGGACTATTGAGCCTGGTGTAACACCCCACTGGTGGGCAGCAGCAGCACAAGCTATAGGATGCCGATGGTTGGGGGTGCCATGGTGGGGAGGTGGTCTCCATGGCCATATCCAGCTCTGCCTAGGCTGTCAACACCTCTCCCTTTCTTCCAGCTGGAGATTAATGACATGACCAAGTCGTGGGGCCTGGAGGTGGACCGGGTGGAGCTGAGCATGGAGGCTGTGCTGCAGCCACCCCGGGAGAACCTGGCGGGGCCTGCGGCCACTGTGCCACCAGTGCCGGGGCTGGAGGGGCTGGATGGCACCATTCAGCAGCTGGCTGCCCATTTCTTCGGCAGCACCCTGGCCCTGGCTGGCGGCGGGACCGGCGCTCCGGAGGCAGGTAACCAACCCTGGGTCACTGCTCCTCTGCTGGGTCATGTCCCTCCTGCCAGGTGACCTTTGTGTCCGTTGGCTATTTGTCAGAGGAGTCAAAGTCTGGGAGATGTCATGCTCCTACGAGCACAGCACAGACAGGCTGGTAGCAGGGAGGAGAGCTGTGGGCACAACTCCATACAGCACATGGCACAGCACCACCATTCCAACAAGACATTGGAGAAGGGACTGGGAAGGGCAGAAGCAGATCTGCAGGAGCCCTGGGCTCAAGACCAACTCATATCTCAGCATTCCCACCAGGCAAACTTGACCCTGAGTTTCCCAAGAGTCATGTGGATTTTTTCCAGAAACCCTGCACCGATTGGTGCTCCATTAACTTTTCAGGGATAATTTTCCTCGCCCTGTTAGCCAGGGAAGAGTAACCCATGGCAGACAGTGGAGCAGGAACTGGCAAGACCAGTTGCCCTCTTCTTGCTTAGCTGGAGACTTTCTGGATAAGTGGGTTTCTTTCCTCTGGAGACCTTTTCTGGTGGGTCTGGCTCACCACACAAAGGTGTCCCCTAATCTGTGCCATTGTCCCAGCAGACAGTGTGGAGATGGTGAACGAGGTGGAGCCTCCCACCACTCCCCTCCTTGCCCAGAGGAAGCCCAGTGCAGACGAGCTGCTCTCAGCGGTGGAGTCTGTCCTCTCTGAGGCCCTGGTCAGCCAGGTGGGAGCATCCTACCAGGTCAACATCGCCCTGTCCAGTGGCACCTGGAGCACCTACTTCATAGACCTCTCCTCAGGTCAGCACTCTTTGGGGTTGTTGTGTTGGAGCTGTGAGGGTGTTTTGCTCCTGTGCCCCCTTTGCATGCTGTGAACCCCACTGAGCTTGGTGATCAGAGGTCCCAAACCAAACCCCTTTGGTACCTCCATGAAAGCCACCTTGGGGCCCATCAGGTGAGCGACATAATTTGGTGACCATGACCTTGAATCCACGCTGCCTGGCAGTCCAAAGTATAATTTGTTCTGGGTTAAAACCATGAATGTTCTTTGAGAAATAGAGTATTGATGGAAAATTGACAGCAAGGTCTCATGGCTGGCCTGGAGACCTCAGGAGTTGTTGACTCTCGTAGGACACCAGCACAAGGGGGTAGTGATGGAGGGCCCCTGCCATGCTGGAGGATGTCCTTCCAGCACCCTAATACATCCCCGCATGGTTGCCTGTGGTTTTCCTGGTGGTTATGGCAAAAGCAGGACGGGGCTTGGAGGTGGACCACTGTAAAGGGTATTGGTGGAGCAACACAAGAGAAATTCATCTCCATAAGGTGTAAGGACTCCTGTCTCCAAAGTCTCCCTGCCAGGAGGAGGCCCATCTGTCATCTGGCCCATCTCAAATCTCATGAAATGTGGGGAGGGAAACACCAGGTGGATCAAGGCTGGATCCTGAACCCACTGTTTCTCCCTCTCCCACCCACTGTGTCCTACAGGCAGCGGGCGGATTTGCCGTGGCGTGCCCGAGGGCGTTCCTGATGTCACCCTGCAAGTGTCAGAGAAGGACCTTCAGGACCTCTTTCTGGGTGACCTGCGCCCCCTGAGTGCCTACATGAGCGGGAGGCTGCAGGTGACAGGTGACCTGCACCTGGCCCTGAAGCTGGAGGAGCTCGTCAAGGCGATGAAGCAGCGTCGATAGAGCGTGTGCGTGGGCGCGTGTCTGTGTGCTTGTGTCTCTGTCCGTGTGCCAAGGCGTGGGGACGTTTGGGAGGACCGTGCTGTGTGGTGGGGGGCCTTGCCATGCTGGAGCTCCTGCTGCCCTTCCTGTGGAGGCTGTGGGAGTTGGGTGAACATCGGAGCAGGGAAACTGAGGCTGAGCTCCGCTGCCCATCCTTGTCCTTGGCTTTCCCTCTGTTCTTCATCCCCTGCTTACAACGTTACGGGAACCAGCTGGCACCTCACCATGCGCCAGTTTGCTTCCAGTTTCGTAGAATCACAGACTGGTTTGGGTGGGAAGACCTTAAAGTTCCACCCCCTGCCATGGGCAGGGGACATCTTCCACTAGAGCAGGTTGCCCCAAGCCCCATCCAACGTGGCCTTGATTTCCTGGGCCAATGTGCCACCAGGGCACAGACTGATGTCCTGGTGTCCCCACAACCTGGTGCATGGCCAGGGATCTCACTGGAAGGGGTGTGAGCTGAGCAGTTGTGTGGAGGAGAGCTTGGGGACAGTGTGGCTGAGGACAGGAGCCATGGGATGGGGTGGGCAGCCAAAACGGGCCACGAGGGCTGGCTGGACCAGGCTGGGATGCCACCAGCAGGCTGGAGTGGGATCCAGTGTGGCACCACTGATGGGATTATGGCACTTATGGGGAAGTGGCAGAGGTGGCAATTTAAGGGATGACCTGCCTTCCCCACACAGCGGTTTGTAATTAGTGATTGCGCTAATTTGTGCTTCAAGATCCTTTTGCGTGTGTGCTGTGAGGTGTGTCCACAGGGGGCGGGGACTGGATATAGGCATATAGAGATATTTATTTATTTTGTAAGCTTCCTTTCTATCCACTCTCGATGGACAATAAACCTGGTGTGCAGCCTTGGGCAGCGCTGGGCTCGTGAATTCTGCAGGCAGATGTGGCTGCACCCCCCGTGCCTCAGTTTCCCCCAAGGCAGAGACCAGAGCATGGGAGGAGCTGCCAGTCAAGGAGGCTCAATTGTGATGAACACATGAAGTCCTGGAATGGTGAGGAAGAGCTGGCAGGATGCTGTGTGGCCTCTTGGGGGATGCTCAGCTCCCTAACAGCACCCAGCACCCCAGGGGTTAAAATGTCTCAGAGCTCCAGGCAGCTTTATCAGCTCCAGGATGTTCTGCTGGGCCAGTGGGACAAACCTGAGTGGTCTTGCTGTCCTGTCCCATCCATGCAAGGGGCTCCTTGCCAGAGGATGGGACGGGGGGAAAGAGAATTAACATGTTTCCAAAACTGAAATGTTTGGAACTGAAATGTTTCACAGCTGCAACCAGACTAAACCACCTGTTAAACATCTTCTTCAAAGCCTGGGGCTGGGTGGCTCTAGCCTGGGCCAGGCTTTGGGGATCCTCAGGGCATCAAAAGACCCCAGAGGAGTTGACAGTAGTGTCCTGCCATGCCCTCTCCCTTTGGGGGTGCCAGGAGAGGTGAACCCCAAGTACTCCTGATGGCCCCCATTTGTAGTGGTCCACTCTTTGTGGCAGTCCCCCTTCTGTGGTGGTCCCCCAGTCATGGTGGTCCCCTGTTTGTGGTGGTACCCTTTCATGATGGTCCCCCTGGTGCAGATGGCTGGGGGTACCGATGCCCTGCACGAAGGAGCAAAGGATCAGAATACAGGACAAAGGGATGTGGAAATCCTCTCCAAGGTGGAGGGACAGCCCCCGAGCTCCCTCAGGGCCTGCAAAGGGCACCAAAACTGCCTTTGGCAGTGCCCGTCTGAAGCACAGCAGGGACGGGGACGCTGCTACACATTTCTGGGGGTGCTTCTCCTTGGGGGAGAAGCCTTTTGGCGGGGATCTTGGGGTTTCCTCCCTCCCGGATGGCCGGGAAGGGCTGAGCCGGCTGTGAAGCGTTTTCCGGGCGGGAAGCGGGGCTGTGAGCGGGCTCTCTGAGGCTCCGCCGCCCAGTCACGGAGGAGGAGTTATTCCCGGAGCCGCAGAAACCGAAAGTACAGGCGGGGCAGGCAGCGCGGGCGGACGCAGGGATCCGTCTCTTCCCGCCCCGCCATGTCCCTGTCCGGCTCCCGAGCCCCGGTCGGTCCAGGGGGGATGCGGGAGGGATGCGGGCGGGACGCCGAGGGGACTCCGGCCGCGTGAGGGGACCAGAGGTGTCCAGGACATCAGGAAGTCCCTTGTCCCAAGGCGTGGGGATGGGGATGAGAGTTTGGGGTGTTTCTCCGCTTCCCGGTTTGGTGGGTGGTGGGGAGGATGGGACTGGTACCCAGTCCATCCCCCCCGGCCCCGCTGAGAGAGGGAAGTTCGAGGCCAGAGGGATGGGCTGAAGGGAGGGGGGGATGTCTGAGACCATGGTCCCCACCTCTACCAGGGTGTCATCCAGGGATCTTTAGCTATTTCCTCCTTGCCCCCACCCTTTGATCTGCCCCTCCTCAGTCCTCCCCAGCCCCATAGCTGGGGGACTGTTTCCTCTTTGCTAGAGGGAGAGGAAAGGCTCAGCAGGGCCCTGTCCATCCAACCTCATCCCAGTGCATGGGACAAACTCTGTCCTGGGCATCACTGGTGGGAAGTGGTTACTCACTGGTTGCTCCAAGAAGGGTTTTTGGGTCACCTCTACCCCCAAGATGAGGTTTCCAAAGTTCTTAAAAACACTCCTCAGTGCTTATTCCTCATCCTCTCCCCATCTCTCTCTCCCCAAGCTCCTAGAAGATGACTTTCAGTTCCTCCTTTGTGAGGGCTGCCAGCAGGAATCGCCCAACCTCAAGCTCCTCACCTGCCTCCACACCTTGTGCCTGGGTTGCCTGAGCAAGAACGAGCCCGTCGGGCAGTGCCCCGTGTGCTGCACGGCCATCCCGCAGGCCGATGGCATTCTGGTCATGGACAACCTGCTCTTCACCAACCTGCAGGCCCGGCTGAGGGTCTACAAGCAGATGGTTGATGGAGTTGACTTGTTTTGCGACAACTGCAGGAAATCTGGGGAGTTCTGGTGCTCCGAGTGCTTCGAGTTCCTCTGCACCAAGTGCTTCGAGGCCCACCAGCGCTACCTGAGGTGGGAGAGCCACAGAGCCAAGAGGGTGATGGACGTCAGGGCAGGGTCTGCAAATGACTTCCTGCAGGGAATCAGGAGGACAGGTAGCTTGTCCTGCTCCAAACCAGACCACAGGAGCCAGCCTGTGAGGTAGGTCTGAGAAGGCTTGTCCTCATCTGAGTGGGTTCTTGTCATCTCTTTGGGTCCCATGATGGGACCCCCAGAGGGTGGTTGAGCATTGGAACAGGCTCCCCAGGGCAGTGGTCACGGCCCCCAGGCTGCCAGAGCTCAAGGAGCGCTTGGACAATGCTCTCATGGTGGGATTGTTGGGGTGTCCTGCACAGGGCCTGGAGTTGCACTTTGATGATCCTTGTGGGTCCCTTCCAGCTCAGGAGATGCCATTCCATGAGTGTGTGTGCTATGGGCTTGTCAGGAGCCCGGGAGGAGGGAGGGCAGCAAAGGAGGGTTGAAGGCCCAGGCTGACGGGCGCCCCTGCAGCTGGTGCAGTGAGGCAAAGCCCCCGTGCCTCAGTTTCCCTGTCACTGTCCCTCGGGCAGGGGCAATGGTGCCCAGGGCAGCAGAGCTGCTTTTGCCGCCCCAGTGCCGTGCCGGCTCTGAAGGGCGCTCCTGTTCCCTGCCAGCATCTACTGCCAGCAGTGTGAGAAGGCGCTGTGCTGCTCGTGCGCGCTGCTGGACAACCAGCACTCGCAGTTCAGCGACATCTGCAGCGAGACCCAGCGCAGGCAGGAGGAGCTGAGCTCCATGGAGCGGGAGCTGCGGCGTCGCCGGAGCGGCTTCGAGGCCACCTACGCGTCCCTGCAGGGCGAGGCCGCCCGGCTGGAGGAGGCGCAGCGGGAGACGCGGGAGCTGATCCGTCAGCGCGTGGAGCAGCTGGTGCGGCTGATCCGTCAGGAGGAAGAGGAGCTGTTGGGGCTGGTGGAGGCGCGTCAGGAGCAGGGCCGTCGGGAGCTGGCGCGGGAGCTGCGGCACGTGGAGGGGGTGCTGCGGCGGATGGAGGCGGGCGAGAGGCTGGTGGAGAAGATGAGCCTGTACGCCACGGAGCAGGAGGTGATGGACATGCAGCCCTTCATCAAGGGCTCGCTGCAGGAGCTCCAGCGGCTGCAGCCACCATCAGCCGGGGACCAAGCGGAGCCTGGGCCCTTTGCTGAGTGCAGGGCCAGGCTGCAGGCGCTGGTGGAACGTGTCACGGAGCACCCAGGTGAGGAGGCACTTGGCCAGGTGGGTTGGGGAGGGGGCAACTGAAAGCAGAGATGAAGGTTATAACCCCTGTGTAGACCACATTCTCCGTGGGTTTCTCATCTCCTTCAACATTGTGACTGTTCCCATTCCCACCCTTGGAGGTGTTCAAGGCCAGGCTGGATGGAGCCCTGAGCAACCTGCTCTAGTGGAAGGTGTCCCTGCCCATGGCCTGCAGGTTGGAACCATTCTGTGATTCTATGACTTGAGAGAGCTGTGCCCCACCCAGCCTTTGCTCACGCCTTGAGCACATTCCAGCCTCTCCCAGGGATGGGATGTTGTTGTTGCACCCATCACTTCCAAAGCAATGGTGTCTCTTGCCCTTGGGTGGTGTGCTCCCCAAATGCACCCACCTTTGGTGGGTGCTCCCCAGATGCACTGGGGGAGAACGTGGGGGATCCCTCGGGATGAATCTGCTGTCTCCAGACCTGGGCTATGACCTCCTTGGCTTTCTGTGGGTGTCCACCACTGAGCTTCCCAGGGCAAGCTCATGTGCCGTGGATGGTCCATATAGGAGTCCAGGGGTGATGTCCTGGATGGCATTTGGGGTTTCCTGGGGACAATCTGCCCCCCACCCCACTACTTGCATCTCCTTTGTATGGTAGGCATCATGCCTCTGCTTCCCTTCTCCACCTCACCGAGTCATGCTCTGAGGACCCTTGGAGCCCTGACTATCTCCTCTTGCTTCCTTCATTCCTGCTTCCAGCAACAGGTACCTCCACTTCCCAGCACAACTCCCTGTCTGACGAGAGCACTGTGATCCTTGACCTCAAGCATCCCGGGCAGGATTGCCAACCACAAGGAGATCTCCCTGTGGACCTGCTGGCCCACCACCAGCCCTGTGCCCCTGTGTCAGACCCCTCTGGTGGCCGAGGACATGTGTGCCCAAACCAGGGAGGGGGTATGTCCCCCCCCCTACCCGCAGCTCCAGCTCGTCTGATGCAGAGGGAGGAAGAAGCAGAGGAAGACTCAGGCTCAGCCCATGGGGACACTGTGCCTCTTCCCAGGAGCATCCAGGACTCTCTGGCCTCCCTGCAGGAAGGTTTTGATGGCTGGGCCAGGTCCAACGTGCAGCAGGCAGACAAGCTCCTGAGGATGGGCACTCGCCTCCTGCAAGCTCAGCAGAGGGCAAACAGGCACCTAGTGGCCATGACCCGGGAGATCCGGGCCACGTCCCAGTCCCTGGCCACCATTGCCTCTGCTGTGGGACCCCTGGTGCAGTCTGTGGCCTGCCCACAGAACCCCTCCACCGCAGACATGGACTGGCCATCGCTGCCCTCCAACTTGCTGGACTTATTCCCTTCCAGCACCCCACAGAAGGATGAACTGCCGGTCCCAGTGGCTGCTGTGGCCCTCTCCCCCAGAACACCCCCTCCTGCCACCCCCCCTGCCAGCCCAGCGCGCTCTGAGACCCCCAGCCTAGAGTCTGAGTGGGAATGCCCCAAATCAATGCTTCCCACCAGGGGCAAGCGGGGTGGGCAGCCCTGCAGGAGACTTCGGAAGCGGAGGAAGTGAGGGTCTGCAAAGCAGGACGTTTGCCATGGACTGTGGCTGCTTGGAAAACCCTCCAGAGGTCCCTGTGGAGACCTTTAGGGCTCCATTTCACCTTACCATGCCAATAAATCCTCCTGGGATGATCAGCGTGTTGGTCTTTTGCTGGGTTTGGGAAGGCAACAGCTCCCCCATGAACGTGCCCTCACTGTGGCATGGCAATACCTTGCTCAGGAACAGCATGATTCCACTAATGTTCCTTTTTCTTTCCTTTCCAGCGTGTGGGACCTCCTGGCTGATGGGTCTGGGATGGGTGGGTAGTCAGCAAATCCATAAGGGAGAGCTGGAGGGTGAAGGAATGGATGGTGGCTGGGTGGAATGGGCACCTCTCCAGCCCAGCCTGGAGCTGGCTCCTGGATTTCAGCCTTAGTAACGTCTCCAGGAGGTGACCCTCCGAGGAGGTGCCCTCAGAGCCACCTGCACCTTCTGCAGAGGCTTTTCTTCAAGGCTGCTTGAGCTCTGGCTCTTGGCTGGGACTTTCCAAGATTTCACTGGAATGAGATCAGCCAAGCTGACAGGGCACAGGGCTGCAGGGCCAGGGTGAACTTTGTCCCTTGAAGGCACTTTTCTGGCTGAGGTGCCAACATGTCAGCACGAGACACGCCACTGCATGCACTGAAACAGCTCTCAGAGGCACAATGGTTTGCAAGTCATTTCCTGCCCTGCCTTGCTTAAATCCCACATGCTGCCACAGACTGTGATGGATTTGGTGCCTCCCGACACATCTCCCACAAGAAGGGCATCAGTGCCATGGTCTGGGAACCACAGCGGTGTTGGATCAAGGGTTGGACTTGATGATCTCGGAGGTCCTTTCCAACCCGGCTGTGGTTCTATGATTCTATGAATGACTTGTCCAGCATCAGAAGTAACTTTGCGTGGGACAAAACTGAGGCTGAGGACCCCCAGGCTGCCCCCTGCATCCCCAGCATGGGATCAGAAGGGCTTATCCCTTGCCTGCAAGCCCTGCCAAGCTTGGGAGCTTCAGGGTTGGACCAAGAAGATAAAGATAATTTATTGCCCCAGCTCAGGAAGGACAGGTTCCCATCTTCTCGTCTGCAGCCGTTGAACCAAAGTTTTCCTGGCCTGTGTCAGGCAGAGAGGGAACCTTGACCGATGTGGCTGAAGTGGCCACAGCCCAGGAATGAGGATGTGGTGCTGGTGCCTCAGAGCAGCAGAGACCATCAGGGCAAGAGGACTTGATTTGGGCAGGGACAGACCCGTGTGGTCACCTTGTTCAGCTGTGCTTCAGTGGCAAAGGCCGTCTCCATTCCTGACTGCTCACTGGGCTCCTCTTTGCACACTCAGGTGTCCATCTCCACCCCTGCAGAGAGGAGAAAGTCCATGAAGGTTGAAGACAATGACAACGAGTGGAACCATGCTCAGACCAGCTGTTCAGTGTCCCCCATGACTCCCACCAAGGACAGTCTGCTAGAAGACAGGCCAGGGGACAACACTGGGCTGCACGGCTCAGGTAAGTCACCTCTGGAGCGATAAATCCACAGGTAGGCTTTAGGATGGGCAGGCATCGAGATGGGACAGTGTGGAGCACCTCTGTGGAGCCCCTGGTCCCATAGTTTGCTTGAGGACAAGCACAGGATGACTCATGTAGGGGAGATGTGCAGCTCCCCATGAGAAGGATGTTGGCTTGAAGACAAGGAAGAGAACACCAAGAGGTCCTGTTTGCTCAGGGAGGTGCCAAGAAAGGCTGTCAGCCTGGTCCCTTGGGAACAACTCAAGTCATTTCCCTTCAGACGGTTCTTAGCTCTCCTGCTGGCGGTTGTCCAGTTTGGATCATGCTAAACCAGTCTGATTAAGCCACAGATGTCACCTAAAATTCATGGGCATCTCACGTGGTTCTCACCTGAGTGTGGAAGCAAAGCACTAAGCCACAAGCAAACATCCTTGTTTGAAGCCTCCCCAGTGTCACTTCAGTGCCCAAACTGCTTCTCCTCCTGCACACAAACCAGGCACGAGGAAGCTTGTAGGGTGATTCATCTGGATCAACCAGTTGGGAGTATTTGTCCCCCCATAGAGGAGACAACCTGCTGCTGAATCATCTCCACAAGGGTTGGACTGCCCGCACACCATGGGGACTATTTTGCTCCAGGCCTAATCATTCTAATAATTATTATTTCTAATCTCAAATAGCTCTAATTTATTCCTGATAAGGAAATTATCACCTCCCTGCTCCATCCCCCAACAGCCCTGCTACGGAAGGACCCCATAACCTGGAGATGGGAGATACAGGCTGAAGGTGGGACACATCTCTGTGTGTCCTAACTGGTTGTTCCCAAAAGAACAGGGGGAAAAACTGCAGTTGGCTGCACAGCAAGCTCAGCATCTCTCCTGTGAACAAGGGACCCAATCCAGCATCTTGTTAAATCCCACCACAGGGGTCCTGTGGCGGGGTCCCACAGAGAATTGGGTCTCTCAGCTGTTTCCAGTTGCCCTGATGGGAGGTGTGCTGAGCATCACCTGGGGTGGGAGCGGCCGTGGGAGAGGTGGGCTATAAAAGCTCCCTGGGCAGCAGTTACTCCTTGTGCTGGACCCTGGTAGGCAGGATGAGGTCTGGAAGCAGCCTCGGGTTGGCTCTTTTGTGCTGGGTTTTTGGGGAGGTGGTTGCTTACGACCCCCTGGGTCTCTTCAGAGGGGAGGCAGAGCTATGGAGGTACGGAGGGGATCCTTCCCTGGGGCAGCCACGGACCTTCTCCCAGCCCTGGGCGTGGGTGGACGTGTCCCAGCTCCAGGCCATGGCCCCGCTGCACCCTGTGGCCGTGCAGTGCCAGGAGGCACAGCTGGTGGTCACAGTGCACAGGGACCTCTTTGGCACCGGACGCCTGGTCAGGGCTGCGGATCTGAGCCTGGGGTCAGCCTCCTGCCTGCCCGTGGTCTGGAGCACCTCTGAGACCACTGTGACCTTCGTGGCTGGGCTGCACGAGTGTGGCAGCACCCTCAGGGTAAGTTGTGGGAGGCTGGACCCCTAAGGGGGAGGGGGGGGGCTGCCTCTTGTCTTGCACCCTGGTGCCTTGGGGTGCTGAGACTGAAGGGATTTGTGGTGTAATTGGGCTAAAGGAAATGCCTTAAAGTTTTCCTGGAGGCTGAACACCTCGGTCAAGAGGAGCAGGAGCTGCTCTGTGTTGTCTGGGCTTGTGTGAGCAGGGAAGAGGCAGAGAAATAAGGGGTTTTTTTTCTGATAAATACAGAGGTAGCTAAACACTCCAGGACTGTTCGTGCTGCTGCTGCCACCTCGAGGCTGGAGCGCGGAAAACCCGGTGTTGGGAGCCACTGCTCCCTATGGATACCTCAGGAAGCATCTGAGTGCTGCTTATGGGGTGTAGCATGAAGCTACTTCACCAAAAACTTAAGTTTGAAGTGGTCTCTCCCCTGGGAGAGACGTGGGGGGCCATGAGAATGAGTAAGTGCCCCCATCCAACAGATGAAGTCACCCTTTGGTATCCTGGGAGACAGACCTTCCTGTCTGTTGTTCCAGGGCGTGGAAACTGTAGAATAGAAATAAGAATCAGCTAGAGAATGTCTGCATTTAGCTCTGCTGCTGGCCACAGGCTGTCCTTGGCCAGGCTGGAGCAGATTCCCACCCTAGAGGATTCCTACATCAGCATGAGTGCCACTCACCTGCCTCCAGCACAAATGCTGCTGGCTGAGGACCAGAAAAAATATCTCAGTGCTGAGTCTCTGGTCTCAAATGTGCTGCCCTGTGTGTGCGTGTGGTCAAAGGAACAGGACTCTTAATGACTGCATAATTGCCTTGCCTTTCCCCAGGTGACCCCCGATTCTCTAATCTACACCACGAGCTTAAATTACAGCCCAGTTCTTCCCAGCAATCCCGTTGTCATCCGTACCAGCCCTGCCGTGGTTCCCATCGAGTGCCACTACCCCAGGTGAGCCAAGGCAAGTGAGCAACAAATAATCCCCTCTGCTGCCACAGAGAACTCACCTGTGGGCATTTCTCCTCCCCAGGAGGGACAACGTGAGCAGCCATGGTGTCAAGCCCACGTGGGCACCCTTCCGTTACACCCTGTCCTCTGAGGAGAAGCTGCCCTTCTCCCTGCGCCTCATGAGTGGTAAGTTTGGGGGGAGGATCTCCTCTGGTGGCCATGATTCCACTAGATGGTTCAGTTTTGGGCAGTCCCCAGGGCCTTGTGCACATTGGGGTTTCCCTGAGTGGAAGCAGTGAAGCCCAAACCAGCTTCCCATCTAAGAGTGCCTGGTGACCTCTGTCCTTCCAGATGACTGGAGTGCTGAGAGAGCCTCCGCTGTATTTCAACTGGGAGAGGTCTTCCACTTCCAAGCTGGTGTTGATGCAGAGAACCACGTGCCTCTGAGGCTCTTTGTGGACAGTTGTGTGGCCACCCTGACCCCGGACAGGACCTCTTCTCCCCAGTATGCCTTCATTGAATTCAGTGGGTAAGAGCTGGCTGTGCCCTTGTTCAAAAGGACCTTTCTGCAGGTTTATGGAGATGTCTGACAGTGGGACCCTGCTGGCCCCTGTGTTTGTGTCCAGGTGCCTGGTGGATGGGCAGGTGGATGATGCCACCTCGACTTTTATATCCCCGAGACCCAGGCAAGATGTGCTTCAGTTTGCAGTAGATGCATTCAAGTTTGCAGGAGACTCCAGCAATCTGGTAAATCCTTCCTAAAGCAGTTAACTCCCTTTTCCGCATGACAACCTTGCTCCACTATGAAATTTATTGTCTAGAATTACATTCCCAAGGCAACATAGGAATGAGGTCATCCTGTACCTCAGGATGCTCATGATGTAGTACTGCTGCTACATCATGGCCCCCTGAGCCAAGGATCAGTCTTGATGCTGGTCAAGACAAGCCCTTCTGATGGGCTTGGTAGCTGAAATCCCAAGTGGCTTGAAGGAATTGGAGGGGCTTGAGCTGCCCTGGGGAGTTGGTAGTCCTGTTGGTGGTCCAACTGGAGACCAAACTTGTGGAGTGTGGGAAAGACATGAAGACACCTGATGGCCAAACCCCTCTGTTCTGCCTGCCCCGCCCAGATCTATGTCACCTGCCACCTGAAGGTCTCCCCAGCTGACCAAGC